TTAGATATATCATATATATCATATATCATATATTATATATATACATCACACTTTTTAATCTAGATGAAGAAAACCTAATATATCTGCATTATGTAGTGATATTAAAGCATTGTCCTTTATATTAAGGCATAAGCTGTTCACTTAATAAGCTGTTATTGCACAAAATAAATAAAACCAAGAATAAAAGCTACATGCCAAGTTTAGTCCCCAAACACTGTTTTTAAAGTTTATTTTGCTTATTTTTGTACAGGACTATAGGGTTGTATCCAGATGCTTCCAGATTTGGAATTTTCTTTGCTGTTGTCTTAGCATCTCATATAATTGGTGAACTACTGACACTTGTTATACTTGGAGTGGTTCAAAACCCAAATATTGTCCAAAGCGGAGTGGTGCTACTTAATTCAGCAGGTGTGATAGTGGGAACGGGACTAGTAAGGTAAGAAAAAGTTTTATTTCACTGTGGTGTTAATGTTAAAGCAATTCACCCATAGAAGGAAGATTCTCATGAGCAGTGTGCTGCAAAAGCACAATAAAGCACAGGCAGCAATGACAGCACGTGCAGCTCTTTCCCTTCAGGAGAACTAACTTATCATGGTAGACCTTGTCCTAAACACACAAACCAGAGGCTTAATATCTTTAGACATCAACAAAGGCATTCCCTTTTTTTTTTGCTTTTTTACTTTTTCAAGTATATATACTTGAATATAAGACTGAGGAATCAAATTCTGCCAGCTCAGCTGAATTTTTACTTACGCTGACATTATGATGTGAAATGCCGTCCTCATTAAAGGAGCTCACTGGAAAAAAGTTCCTGCAACTTTTAGCAACTGATGGAACTTATCAGACATTCAACATTGGGAGTGATGGTTTAGAAAAAAAAAAAGTTGTTCTCAACTATCTTGTTAGTATTATTCTCCAGTTTAGATGTTAAAAATTTCCGGACACTTCTTCCACCTGTGCAAACTGAACTACATAAAAATAATAAAGAGAAAAGTAATGTAGTAAATATGCAGGAGAATTGTGATCCCCTTGCTTCATTACTGGGCAAATAAGTGTTTTCACGATGTAAGTGCATGAACCTTGGAACAGTTTTCCCCTTGTATTTATCACTACTGAAATTACTGTTTTTTTGAGAAATGTGCCATAGTAAATGTATTATTGTCAAAAGAAGTGTTGAGATGTTGAGCAAATAGTATATGCTTACCTGAGATCTTTCCAATCAAAATTAAATAAGCCTAACAGCCTAACAGGTGACATCAAGTTGTCCTCAAGAAAATCATGAGTCTTCACAAAGTTGTTGGTGCTTTGTCTCTCCAAAGTGGATCTCAGCTAATACTTGCATATCAAATAAAGCCAAGTTAAACGCTAATTATTTTGCCCCTGCCTCATTTCAGGAATATGTATGTTTTAAGTGACAAGACAGTTATTCCTGCTACCATAGTCTAATACCTTAATGTTAAGTACTAAAAGGTATTAGAGTGGTTTCTAACCTTATTTTAGAGACATTGCTAATTAATATTGTGAATCTCTTTGATGTTAAGAAGAGCATTGAGACTTGGATCGCTGTTGTTTTTCTGTTAATTTGTTTAATTGTAAAATGTTGCAGTATTTTAGGTGCAGAGATTGCCCGGTTTTGTTGAATAATGTTCTTTCAAAATTTTCCTACTCTTTTTCTCTTCTCATTATTTTTACTTCATTTTTATTTTGTTGTTATTGTTCTGATGAATTGATATTCAGTCTTTTTTGGTTTAGAGGATGGAGGGAGGGCATGGTGGTTTCTTACTTTGGAAGCATCACATTTTTGTAACAAAGATTTATATTGGGTCTTGTCATTTTCAGTTTATCCCTGCAATGTGAATAGAAAAGAACTTCACAGAATTATTTTTGACTGCCCATAAACAAGTCAGGGCTGAATGTTATGATGCTGTAGCACAGGCAGAGACAGCCTTCGTGGTTGTCTCCTCATTTAGCACTAAAATGGACTTTTATGTTTGAAAACCCTACAGGTACAGCCAAGAATTGTTTCTGTAACAGGATACAGCCAAAGATGAAACTTTGTTTTAACTTGAGGTAGAATTGGCTCTTGGAATGTAGCAAAAGCCAGTTTAACTTCTCTGTTTCTTTAAGGACCATTGAAGAAATGCCGACACCTTTTAAAATACTCGGTTATCTCACCTTTCAGAAATACAGCAGTGAAGTTCTTATAGTCAATGAATTTTATGGCTTAAACTTCACATGTGGTAAGTGTTAAAAAGATTAAAAGCAGCCTTTAAGCCCACCATAAATTTAATGAGACGTTGATGATTATTTTCCTTTTACATACAAAAAAAGTATCCTGAAAAAATTAACTTTTGAGTTGTTAAAAAAAGCCTATTAATTAGTAAAGACTATAACATCATATCAGCAAGCTAGAGAGACGTTTGACTTTTTTTTTTCCCCCAACCATTTCTGATTCTTTCAGCTTTTCATCTTTCTCTTCTTTTATCTCCCGCTTTGGGGGCATTTTGGAAGGTAAACTTTGCAGCCTGTTACGAGCTTATCAGAGCAGCGTTACATAAACAGATCGATAGAATTGCACAACGTAAGATCAAACACCCGCGCAGGGAGCATTGACAGGTAACACCTGGCACACAGGGAGCAGCTCGGGCCTGTCAGGCACCGAGATAACCAGCAAAACGTCAGAATCGGTCGGGTTGGCTGGGTTAGTAGCCCACATCCATCAATGGGGGGTAAAAGTATTTTGGGCTTTGCAGCCAGGCATCCGTGCTCCTCTTCAAGGCTACGTGTTCTTTATCCATCCTTCTCTCCTGCCCCTCTTTGTTAGAAGAGCAACCGGTAGAAAAGGAATCCATGACTTCGGCAGTAATAACAAACAGCTGATGTTTAACGCACCCTTCAGCCAGTCTTCATTTCTTCAGTTTTGGAAGCACCCAACGCTGTACATCTACCATGTTGGGCAACAACTTGCTTCTTGAGGCCCCTCCAGATAAGGTGTCTGAAAAGCTGTGAATCCTTTGTTTGGAATGAACATACCAGAGAGCTCCTAATGACTATTTAATCTTCCCTTCAGAAAATATGGTATAGATTACCTGCAGAAACATATGGCTTGTCTGTTCTTATTCCAAAATGATGAGAAATACTCCTGATGGGTACAGTTCATCATTAAAATGATGTTAGGGCAAGGTATATTAAATTTCTGCGCTACGTACTGAAGCCTGAATTTGAGTTTTACTGGTTCACCTACTAAAGAAACCATTGCTTTTCTTTTGACAGGTGAAGCCAGCGGCTCCACTGCAACTAATCCTGCTGCATGTGCCTTCTCTCAGGGCGTTCAGTTCATCGAAAAAAACTTCCCTGGTGCATTGTCCCGGTTCACAACCGATTTCCTAGTACTCTATGCTTTTCTACCAGGACTTGCCATTATAGCAGTGCTGAGCTTCAAAATAAGAGAGACAATTGTTGCCAGGCAATGAAAAAGTAGCGGTTCTAGCAGTGTCTTATACGACACTTCTAGCTTTATTGTGCCCGAAGGCTTAAGTTGTTGGATATTAGGTAGAATTTAAGTGATTACTCGTACAGAAACACATTCATCTTCTCATGTTTGTTCCTAATTGGATTTTCTGCATCTTGAAAAACAATGTTCTCTTAAGAGTGTGCATGACTTTTGGCTATTGGAATTCCCACCTCACTCCTAAATCACACGATTAACATGTTTTAAAGGACATTTTGAATATAATTTAGCCAGCTGTTGCTCTTATTTTTCAATGATGTAGCAATGGTGCTCTGAGTTTGGTTTTTTTTTCCCTCATTCTTCTGGTTTTTAACCATTACCAATAAGCAGAGGGGCACAAATGCTAGTACATCACATTTCTAGAATTGTATTTTAAGTCCTATGCTTTGTTCTGATACCATTTGGGAGATCTGGGAAAAAAACGAGGATGTGTAAATAAAGACAGACTCAAGAAATGACTCCCCTTTAATCTTAGGCATACTGTAAAACCAATACGTACATGATCTTTAAACAATATCAAATTACCTAATATGTTTTTGTCTTGTAAATGATGGAAAACCAGAAAAGACAGTTATTTATACCTATTCCTTCTTTTCGTAATCAAGTTCTAAACCTTGTTTCAGATGCAGTTTGTGATTTTCTAGAACAATTTTTTGTTTGTTAATAAAACATCAATTTAACTAAGAGAACAAAAACAGTTTGCCAGTTCTTGGAAGCAATGTCATTATTGGAAAGTATTCTCATAGGCTTACTAACAGCCCCAACAGTCTAATTTACCCATTTAATAAATATACATGCCTCTTAAAATTGAAAGCTTAGCAGGCACAGAATTCCTAAATGGTGTAACTAACTTTTAATTTTCAGTAAAGAAATTGTTTACTACAGAGGGATAGCTAGAGATCTCTTCACAGGGGGTAAGTACATTTGCATCTTGCACTTCCATAAATATACAGTTTAATTTGATCGTTTTGAGATGGTGCACTTTAACAAAGCGTTTGAAATCCTCTAGTATCTTTATGTGAAGTATTCTGAGATATGAATGTTATATCAGAAAACCATTTGGTGAAAAATAACAAATAACTTTACAGAGCTGGAGAGATACCACATGAGTTTTTCTCTCCCATTTTTACGCACGTGTAGGGTTGCTCATCAGGGACCGCTGTCACGGCTGGTGATCTGTCACCTGACTCTTCTGACATTTACTCTCTGACAAGTCTTGGCTCTCAAGAGCCACCTCTGGCTTCAGTCTTGATCTTGTCTTGCATATCCTAGAAACGCTCGGTCCATTTGTCTGTGGACAAAATCCTATATCAAGCCCAGGCCAGCATTTTACCAGCTTAGGCTGAATGGGAACCAGCTGTGCTTTCACCATTAACCAAGTCTCTGTCCAGTTATTTAGACTGACTTCCTGGCATCCAAGCATTTGACAGCAATGCCCTTCTTCTAATTTTGTACAAAGATATAACATTACATACTGTGAGAAATGATTCCTACACAAAACAATACAATACTGAAACGGAGGTAAAGCAAACTTCTGAATTCAGGTCAAGCGCGTGGAAAGTTATTTAAATACAGATTTGGGGCAGAAGCATTCAAAAATAAACCAAATAATGTGCTATAACTTCTAAAAGAGGTAGAACTGACTAATGTCAGCCTGCATATTGGAACCCATCTCTAAACAACCCCAAACTCCTTCCTCCCCATGTTTAAAAGTCTGTGTCAGTACCAAGATACACTTAAATTTGGACTGAATGAGTTATAGCTTATTTTATTAAAAATAATACCAGGCATGCTTAATAAATATTATTTTTGTAGTTGGATAGTGCATATTTTCAACTCTATCAGATTAAATTGCTAGTGTAATGTTAATATTATTAAAACGACTTTGTAAATGTTAAACTGAAGACACCTATAGCAGTTCATCAATCAGAGTCAAAATCCATTTCTTTCCAGGACTTAGAGGCATTTCTTTTGTATTGTTCAAGCTCCTAGAACAGAAACACACATACAGAATAATCTCATTACTAGAAGTTGTAAGGTACATACATTAGTCACCCGACCATTTAAAGCATGTACAAATATTTGTCACTGTAGAAAAAATGTACTATATATATTTTTATCTTCAACAAAATTATACTAAAAGCGCTATAAAAAAGTGTTTTGCCATATTTCCTGGGTTTTATTTATATATTTAGACCTAGATACTTTCTAGGGAAGAAAAAAATTTCTGTCCCTTCTTTGACATTCAGCTTAACGTGTAATAACATAATAATGCATATGTGTACTTACGATTTTGGAACTTACTGAGCTGTTTGTTGGAAACTTGGCAACAGTTAGGAACAGAAAGAATACTGTGACATTTTAAGGAGCATGTGTAACCTTATTTATGGTAATTAAAAAATTTCAAGTCTAACAAGGGCCACAGGAAGGGGTAAAATTAGACAAGTTTTACATCTACTGACAATGCTCTCTGGGGGTCATGTCTACAGGTGTTGCCTAAATAATCAGCCTTACAGATTTATCATCTGACTAAAAGGTTTCCAGAAAGAGGCAGATAACTTAGCAGGATTTATTTTACTGGAATTTTAGCTAGCTAGAAGGCAATGCAGTGTAAAGGCAATTCAAAACAACACAGAAATGCCAGGGATCAAACCCACAGCATATATTAAAACTGTGTACTTCTAACACTACATGCAGAAGTACAGCATAAAATCATAAATATTTATTTTGGAGACATATCTAGGTGACATTAACATTGAAACAATGAGAAATGAAAGGAAAGAAAGATTAAATGAGAGGATATTTAAAAAAAAAATTTAACAAATTCAGTAATTCAGGAGTACAAAATCCTTTCAGGAAAGTACATTACCTTAGTTTTCATGTAAAATAGGAAGTAAAATAATTCCCCATAAGTCAAAACTGTAACGAAGAGTCTTTCAAATACAGCTTAAAGATCATGCCAGAGAACCTTTTGGCAAAGATTACCTTCCTGCTCATCAAGTCCTGTACTACAAACATAAGCACAACTCTAGGACACTGTAACCACACAATGAGCTCAGAGATCCTCTCTCCAGCCTGAACTGAGACCCTACAAAAGAATCTATCCCGAAGAGAAGGACGTCAAAATAGTCACGCTAGCGTTACGCTGCCTTTGTCTTCTAGGCACCAAGTGGAGGGGTCACAGATCAGATTTACGAAGAATTAACAACTCCAATGTAAGTGTCCTTTCAGTGTGCTCTGACTGCTTGAAACATTGCTAGGGCTAGCAACTTATCCCACACATCTCAGCACTGGCATAAAGTGCACTTTTAATTTTATTTTTTTCTTTAACCTTAATGCTTCGGTACTTCCGTGTTTCTATAAATTCTTCATCTGTCAAACAGGAAAATCACACCTAATCTCATAAAAGGATTGGGAAGAAAGACTTAACTGATGTTTGTGAGGCACTCAGATAAGATAACATTACCACACATTCTCAGAGAAAAAAAAATTAATACTTTTGTGTTCGTTGAAGTGTCTGAATGGCAGGTTGAGAAATAAGATAACACAAAGAATACAGATGATGAAAAGAAATAGTGAATAATTGAGACATCAGCAAAATAGTATATGATCATGTAATTAAAGACAATACCATAATGTCTACAAACAAGGATGAAAAATTAAGATTGTAGGAAAAGCTTAAATTGTTGCATTTCCTCAGTTCTGAGACTGATAGGACTTTCTTCTCATGCAGTTTCTTACTGAAAGTGCCCTCAGTCTGGAACATGGCGAACATAACAAAGTACTGAAAGAAGGATTAAAAATATTAACCATCTAAACTTCAGAAGAAAATTTAATAACAGTGCTCTAATAATGCTCTTTAAGTTAGATTTAAGAAAAAAAAAACACAAAAACCACTCAACAATGCTTGTAGCCATTTGGATATGCTGTCATGTGAAAACAAGAAAGCTTGTTCTAGGCAGCCAAGTAAACATTCTAAATAATTTTTTTCTCCATATGTGAAGGTGAGCACTTCTTTGCTGGAGAAAATGCAAGATGCTACCGCTCTGTTACCCCTGTACAGGTGCCTGCTGTGCTTCTCTGCCCGGTCACAGGGGCCTGACCAGGGAGGTTCATCGCACAATATGCGATATGTTGAATGAGACTGAAATTGTCTCTGAATTCTGCGATTTTGTCGCATCAACGAAGTACGCTGAAAAAAACCATGCTTCTGATGGCCAGCACAGCCCCCATCTCAACCAGAGGGCCACAGCTCTGACACTGAACTTCCTTTTAGGTGTGAATGTTGTGATTGATTAGGTCATTCTTATTATTTTAGGCGAAACAGGGCAGTACTTTCTTGTGAGATGTTACAAAACCTCCCCTTCTGCCTATGACTTGTTAAAGTCTGAACAATTACGGCCCTGTTCGTCCAGATCTGCGTCCACTGCCTCTTGGCAGCTGACACCAAACAGCACCAGGCATCTACTTTTTTTTTAAGTACACTTTATGGCATTAGGCTTCAGCTAAAACTAGCACCTATCCCTACAGTAATACCTTTGTGTAACAAGGGCCAGTCAGTGTGAACTTTGGCACTGCGTGCCACCGACTCCTTAAGCGCCAGACGGGGAGGTTATCCCATCCTTGGAGCTCAAGGCTGGCGCCATCATCTGCTTCAATGAATGAAGCTGCCGTTAGATGTCCAGAAGAATAAGGTCTGAGCGCTACATTAAGTATTAAATGCCAAGTGTTAAGAGGATAGCTAAGACCTATATATATATAGAGATATATATATATCTTTGCGTGTGTATGTGTGTGTGTGTGTGTGTATATATATATATATATATGCAGCTCTAATTGACAATATTATTGTAAAAGCTCTCTTAATCCAGTTACGTGTGTACTTAAAATGAAATGAAGGTGACGCTAAGGCATCAAAAGCCAAAAAGCTAGTGGAGAATGGAGAGAACTGGATGATGAGTTTTCTGTGTTTATGTTTTATGTGGGCTGTATGCGGATTCACCAGCAAGCTACATATTTAAGGCCTAATGTGCAAAAAAAAATGTTCTTCAATCTTGAAAGCCCTGCAAAAAGCACAAAATTCCAGTAGTTCCCAGATATAATCTGCTAGTTAAGAAATAACATTAAAAAATTTAAATTCCATAGAGGTTCCTGTTGCTCTATTCTCTCAGAGCTTAACTCCAGAGAACAAAAAGCTGTAAGCAATTGCCACAGCACTCAGTTGACATAAACCTGCACGTTGTATGCCTCTGGGTAAGAACTAGGAAAAGAATTCTGAAAAGACACAGTTGAGAGAGAGGTTTGCTCTACCTCGAACACAAGCGCCGTGAGGAAAGAGTAGCCCTCAGAGAGCTTTGCAGAGCAAAAGGCTCTAGAAGCAGAGCAGTACCTCTCATGGTTAACTCTGAAAATGTCAACAAGGCAAAATAATCTGGTCTAAAAGAAAGCAGTCCTGTGGCAGAATGCTGATGAGCTGGACGCTTAACCTCTTCTGCCAAAAAGCACCTCAGAGAGATGCTGGCTCACAGACAGTACAGGGGAGTGAGCTAGGTTTTTCCTTGTTCCTGTGCTTTTTTAACAATGATTTTACACTTGAGAATTTAGCCTTTTACTCTGCTCGAGTGTACAAACTCTAGCTGCAGACAAACTCTTCAACCGAGATTACAAACTGGAATTGACTGAATTAAATTTTTTATTGGGGCAGTTATGTATAAATCTATTACAGTGCTATTGAGCAGTCCTGACCAGGATGAAGTCAGGTATGCTCCTTCTTCTATCGGATTCAGCAATAGGGGCTATATTCTGTTTCTGTTGCTAGGTTTTGGTGTTTATTTTTCCATTAAAACTTATCTTGGAGATAAACAAGCAATCTGGCTATCAGCTAGAGCCCAAAGTGGCATATTAATTAACCGAAAGTAACCAAGAAAAATGATAACATGCATTTAAACGATTTTAAAATATATGCTGTTGTCATATGAAACTTTCGCTTTGCGTTAGGTCCCATGTTTTCACTAGCAGCATTGCTGCACGTTAAATGTCTTATACTCTTCCTCCTACACAACAGATACCAAGAGACTCTACAAACCAATGTCAGGCTCACGATGTATTTAAAACAGTGCTTTAAAAATAGGGTTGTTGTGCCACTTTTCATAAAACTGGGAAATCCAAAGACACTTCAAAAATCACTGCAACTACAGAGTTCTTTACTTGTAGATGTATGTTGTTATCTTGGTGCATTTCAAATTGAATAAAATTCCTGGAGTATAAAACATTTTCATAATGTGCAAATAAACTTGTAGAAATTGAACTTCACAATAGAGAAGTTTAGGAAATAACTGAAGATAACAAAAATAATTTTCTCTTTAACGCTCAAATTACTTGTAGTAGTCCAACTAAAAGAAGCTAAACTGGTTTGCAATGCCCTTGAACAGATTAGGATTCTAAAAGCCTGTCTCTTTTGTTTAAAAACAGAAAATTAATCACTTCCCACATGATTTAGTCAACGCATACCAGTATCTTTTTTTGCAAGACATTTTATCTAAACCAATAAACCTAGCACACCATATAGTTATTTTGAGATATAGAGATATACTGAGTATGAGATTACATTATAAATTCCAGAAGTAATGTGCTTTACAAATTTTAATGATTTCTAAGACTGCTCTTGATGTAACAGAAATTCAGAACCGATGCCTACATTAACAGGATATTACAGGTAACGTGCAAGTTCAAAGACTGCAGGGGATTCTTGGGACTGCTTTATCCTTTTATGATATTAATGTATTTCTTTGGATCAGGTAACTACGGGTTTACTGCCTTATGCAATCTAAGGAAAGTCTACAAAACCGTGATGGCAGTAATAGTCTAATCCTTTGGCTTTCTTTTACAAGCATGCAAAAAGATGAAATATACCATTTGTGTTTTTAGGGTTAGTTGAGATTAACTGCAGTGCAAGTCAATAAAACTGCCTTTCATCTTAGGAGTGGGGGTCTGTAAAAGCACATGAGATCCACATCAGTACCATCCATCACGCTAAAGCACGGTTAGAAAAACCTCCTTTAACCACGGTAACTCGGTCCACAGAGAAGTTAATTTGTGTACGAATAGCCCACATATAAGCTGTGGGAATGGTGGAACGCTTCTCAGTCATTCTAGCAAAGAATTTTGTGTGTGTGAAACAAATTAATCTAGATTACACAGGGGGGTTCCAGATTCAGTATGTGATACTTCTTCCCAACAAACAAAAATACACAAAACTTGAATTGCTTTTAACAGACCCATACCTCTACATACAGTATTTCTACTCCTGTGATGTTATCCACTTGATATCTATCAAGCAAGGTTTTAACCTTGACCTAGTTTGCTACAGAATTTTTCTAAAAGAATTAATTAACCACAAACATAGGGAAATGCAGAAACATTTCAAAATCAGGAAGAAAAAATAAAAGACCCACTAAAGGCCTTTCCTGGAATCCAGTGGGAAGGCCAAATACCGCTATATGGAATAATTCTGTTCACTCTGTTTAAGGTAAATGTACAGAGATGGCAAACCTGAGTCAGAAATGCCATCATCCCAGTACTTCTCCAGTTTTAATAAAAAGTTTTGGAGGAGACAAACCCCCTCAAACTAAACAGCCCCCCTCCTCCCGACCTTTTTATCACTTCCTAGACGTTCTGTTAGTTAACACCCAAATGACAGTACAGGGTGCAGAAATGAAGAAATTACTGCCAAGAAAGCTTCACAGCTTTGCTTCAATATTATTTTAGTGAAATAATTCTCAAAGAAAGTTAGCACGAAAATCTGAATTATTAATTTCTAAAGAAACTAGAGAGACAACTTTGAGATCTAACAGTGCTCTACCAATGGAAAAAAGTCCCGACCAACTATTCGGCTGAAAACTAAAGCTGAAGTTGTTTAAAGGCAAAAAGGGGACTGTGAGTATAGTTTACAATTAATTCAGTAATGCTGGTGAATTCTGCAATATCTGACAGTGAACAGCAGTTGGGGAACTACCACACACCTGTTTTTTCTGAGCTCTCATGACATCAACTTCATATTCCACATACTGTAAATCCTGTGCAGGGTCCTTTGTGTCTTGTAAATCACAGATACTCTAGAAGAAGAATTGACAAAAACCCAAATAGTAAAATTTATTTTCTGTTCTTTTCACAAGAAAATGCCATGCTGTAGATCTAATGGAAGTCTTTGCTTTTAATACGAACTTATTAAAATATTGCATTTAGGGAAGATTTTTTTTGCTATAGAACACAGATTAGATAAAAAACCCAAACACCTTAGATTGGTAAAATCATAACAATATTCTTGTTTGGTAGTACTTTACCTTTCTCTACTCAAAATGAAAATATCCTTTCTGGGCATAGTTAAGGTTGCTCTTGCTAGCACACTTAGAACTCAAGACTAGAATTCAGTTCCACTTACCAGAAAAATACTTTCAATAGCTGAGAAATCGACAACTATCTATTTTTTTTTTGCCAAATACCTGAATTTTCATTTACCAACCTTGAGGGAACTATAACTTTAATTCCGAAGGAGCAAATACACTAATAGAAGGAAATTCTATCAAACAAAGAATTTTATTACACCTTGTCCTGCACATTTCTCCTTACTTATAACAAATGGAAAGTAGCGAGAAGGCAATCCTACAAATGATGGAATAAAATAAAGCAGAATTATACTTATTTTTAGATTAGGTGATAGAAGAAGAAACTGACAATGCGTACAAGCAGCTTTAAAGTCTAAAGCATATTTTGGAACCAAACCAGAAGACTAGGAATCTCCTTGGCAAATCTTCTTTACTTAGACTGATACCTTAGAACACTGATGGAGCTTGCAAGATGAGAAATGTATTAATTTCTCCAGCTGTTGCAGGGGTAGTACGGGAGGTACTGGGTGGGTGGTGGTAGCAAGGGAACGTTTGTTCATTGTGTTTTAAAAGGCTATGAGGAAAAATTTCAGTGAGACTGAAATTCCAGTTACTGGAGTTGAAAGACAAACATTAGTAGTGATATTACTGCTACTCTATGAGAAAAGCAGCTGTGCAGCAGATATGTAAATACCTACCTTGGGAGGAAATATTTTCTCAAAAACTTTTTTCCACAGTTCCAAAGGTGTGTTTGCACGCATCTTTCCAATATCACTCTCAGAAGCAGGGGGTGGTCCTAAGGATTACAGCACAGCACAAAGCCATACAAGTATGTTGTCATAAAAACATATATTATCAAATCATTTCGGATAATGAGCCACCTACTTAAATATTTTTATCATTTGCAGTGACAAGCTGCAAAAAGTCTGAAAAAAATAACTGATCTCCTACCATGAAACACGCCAAATGGTATTGTATATATTTTCCTTCAGATCTAAACTTGTTGGTACTTCACTATTTCAAGTAGTCCTGATATTTTATTAAACTACCTAACAGATTGCACCAGTCATTCTCAGTAAAATAAATACTGAATTGTAATTTTAACCTTTCAAAGCCATTTCCTTCAGTAATCTGTTAAAACAGACGCTGATGTACTATAGTTTAACTTGATTTTTCAAAAACAATTAAGCAACAAACATAATGAACAGGAAATGTCCTAACCTATTTGGCTCAGCGAATCCAGGCCTGCTGGTATAAACAGGGGTTTGTTGTGATCCACTGATACAGACTTGCTAAACAGAAAAAAAGAAAATGGATCCAGTGAGCATTTAACAAGCAATGAAAGATTATATTATTTTAGGCAAGACTAGACTCTCACTGGGCTTTGCATACAAATGCATGTAAATGGAAATCTGCTCAGTTCTAGTGGTGACCATGTTTCTAATGCATGACTTTTGGGATCAAAACCAAGGAGTTATCACTGCCCTGTGCAGAGATAAGCAGCTGGGACACAGCACTCCAAGTCCACAAAGAAGAATCTTTCAGCGATCATATTTAAGGGAGAAAAATGTTTGGGTGATTAAAATATTTTTTATTAAGCACTTTTAGACTCTGGGCAAGACATTCAATAGTTGGATAATAATTATGTTACCTTTTATCATAGCCAAATGCCAAGTGATTAATAAGAACACGGGCTTTCAGCAGGAGAGCCTCAGATTTACTGGTAAACTAAATGAATGAGAAAACAATATACATTATCACTTTCCATCACAAAAATATTACATTATAGCATCTGCACAGAGGATTTCAGATAGAGTTCAGCTACTTCCTGACTTCAAAACATTTGGTATATGTTCACTGAATTTACTAGAATAAAAAAAAAAAAAATCTCACCCTCCCTTTCAAAAACATGAATGTATTTGTCACTGAATATGTAGATCAAGAACCATTAAATGAAGAATACCATAAATAAAAGTTAAAGAATACATTTTAAAATATTGATTCAAAACTTCTGAAGTATAAACATTGAGACAAAAATTTTTTGCCTAAGACTAACAAGTTAATTTTAAACTATGTTAAAATTATCCAGAATAACATAAACATTTAGAAATGTAATAAATAGCTATAAAATTGTTTACAAGGTATAACTATCCATCCATTCATCCACCCTTGTCAATACCTGTAACCCCTTTGCCAGACTAGCTCATGAGGAAAGCTACTATGAAACTAATTAAATCTTATTTTCCCTAGAATTTGTACATTTTGATTTTTTAAAATCCTGTTTCGCATCGTGAAACATTGCTCATCTTCTCTATCCTTAGTTAGAAAGTGATACATACCACTAATGATGCTCCATAATAATGTGAAACAAATCGAAGTGTCTTGCTTATTATTTTCCTCATTTCAGAGTCAAACTCCTGAAAAAGTTTATATTGGAACATATACATGAGAAAACAAAACCCAAACATTACAGCTAGAACTTTTCATTTTTTGTATAAACTGCAATGCACTTAGGCTACAATATATGAGGCTTTCAGCTGTCAGCATAATTATATCTTAAGACAGAATCAGTAACAGCCTACTCTGAAAAGAAATGTCACAATTTCCCTTTGTTTCTTTTTTACAAGGGCAGACTAATTCAGGCAATATGTTAGTCCTCATAAAGTTCCTTAATTAGGAATATGCATTCAATTTTCAATTAATTTGCTTCATTTTGTTTTAACTTTTTAGAAGTAATGCCTGCTAGAAGAATGAGGGTATTTTGGTTTTGGGAAGATATTTAGTTTTCAGTAAAACTTTAGGTATATGCTCTCTAAATTCTAATACCTGCAAGATTTGAAAGGTGCATCAAAATAGCTCTTTATTCAGGGTTCTTTATTATGAGATCCAGCGAAGGCTGCAGGAGTCTCTCCACAGAGCCCAGAGGAGTTAAGCTGTTGTTCTGTGCTTTCTACATCAGAGTCCTTGATTTTAAGGAGGTCATGGCCCAGCATAAAGCCTCCGTGTGAACAGTAGGCACAGTACCTTCGTAGTAAAGAGTTAAGGAACTCGGAGTAAGCCGAGCATCAATGCACTGTGCAGTCACCTGCAGAAGCACAGGCTGCCAGCACGGCAGGTAAAAGTCAAATATACTGTTCTAGTTTCTCATGATCAAGTGCTCCTGGAAAATCAAGTATACATTTGTTAGGATTTTTAATGTCCTGGGAGAGAACCCAGCATTCTGTATATGATATTTCCTTCCACTCTCCCCTTAAAAGATGCAATTACTCACTTGTTTCTAAAAACTTTAGTACTTAAAAAAAAAGTCTACTTTTCGTGCTGCCATTACTGCCAAACAATCTGACCAGCTGACTTGAGAGACACACCTCTCTCACTGCCAGATACTTTCAGCTGCTGTCAGAAAGGACAAATGAAGCTTGTTTTCTCTCAGTATTTAAACAGAAAGAAAAAAGTCATCAATATGATGTTTTCTTGCTTCCCTCTTTCGTCTACAGTTACTTGTATCTCAACGTTTTCCAAGTACATCATGGGAGTGTTTTGTGACGGACGACAGTATCCCTTCCATAATGCTGTTGGATAGAAATATTATTTTTTTCTGGTACAAGGGTGACTGGCCGAAATTTTGTTCAAGTGACTACAATTATATTACCCAGATTTTAGTATACAGAATCTTTACCGGGAATCTTTTCATTATTAAAAAGTAAGTAGGCATTACTTACATGAAAAATATCATATTTGCTTCCAACTATCACCATGGGTATTGGAAAAGGGTCAATCAACTCATAATCCTATTAAATAAATAAACAACAGTTAAGCAATGTAAATAAACTGTAGAAAACTGCAACTGTTAAAACAGCTGAAAGGGATTGAAATTAATTCACAGAAGACAAGCTCTTTAAAACCCTGAAGAAGACGAATAAGCTTTAATGCAATATTGCCCCGGTTTCGGCTGGGAGAGTTAATTTTCTTCCCAGTAGCCAGTACAGTGCTGTGTTTTGGATTTAGGATCAGAACACCATACCCTATTCCACAATTTTCCTGGTCATGAAATAATCCCTCTGAGCAGTGAAAAATCTTACTGGCATAAGAGGGCTCTTACGCTATATACTCCAGCTCCAACATTAGACGGGAAGAGAGGAAAAACCTCACATATTTGCCAGATTGGATTAGCAGAACTGGCCTTGTGACACATTCCCTCTCCTTGCATCACACCCCAAGTAATACAGAAAAAAAGCTCAAGAAGGGTAAGCTAAATGACTGTCCTGTGTCACACACTGATCCTCCCTACATTTTCCAAACTCTTAAAATATATTTAATGTGTTTTGCAAGTGTTTGATACCAGCAGAAAGTTACCATGAACAACCAGAAAGATACCTAACAACCACGAAAATGTAAATCAATACCAATGGAGGAAAACAGCTCTGGGGGTGTGGATTTAGCTGTTAACTGTCTAACTTCTGGTAAAAGCTTTAAGTAGTTATAAAAATTCTCAAGTTATCTGGAAGGTATTTCCATAGTCCATATGAAATGAGACAATCCCCTCATGCATCCACACATTATTTAGTTTGGTTTGGTTGCAGCAGAGGTTGACTTAACTGTTCCCTTCTAAAACCAGTTACTTCACACACAGGTTAAATGACAGTCAGGGTATTAGCAAGAAGCTGCACATACCAAAAATCCTCTACTTTGAGAGGGAAAATATAGCGGCTTTGCTCATACACTGTCAAGGCAAAAGCTTTGAGCAAAATTATCATAACTTAGAACAGTGTATAGAATACAGAACTGAAAAGAATTCTCTTAGTTTCTTAACTAAGAAAAAATAGTTTGGGATAACATCAGAAACATTAAAAACTGCTACTGAACCCTATTTATCTTTTGAGTACGGAATTAATTTTTGGCTATGGACTACTGTAAGTATTCAGCCTTTTTAAACAAGGTCTGTAATTGATGTGATTTACCATAATAGACAATAATTATTTATCCAGGCCAGTGGAACACATCCAGTCCATAAAAAAAAAAACACAAAAAACCCCCAAACTCTAGGAACCCCATCAGTTCCTGTTTATCATAAAAATATGTTTAGCTATAAAAAGGCAAATAAACCTGTTAAACTGTCATTTACTTTGACTATAAAAGACAGTACTTCCTTCCACAAAATTGAAATAATTGAAAGTAAAAAGAGAACTGAGGAGCAACATAACATTTTGTATGCAACCTTTCTGTTTTTGATAATGAAGCCTCAACAGAAATTCTAGTTTAAACGGTACAACTGTGTTCCTTACAGGGCAAGTACAACAAGTATTCTCTTCTTAACAACTAATGTCATTGTTTTTTCTACTGACTAAAAAAAGCTTGCAGTTTTCTAATATGTAAAGCCCTGTATGTAAACTTGACACTGTGGTCATTTATTGCCATGTATGCTTGTAGGCATTTTCTTTTTGTGTATTACCTTCTCTAAAAACAAAAACCAAAGTCATAATCCAGCACATCTCAAGCCCTATACTCTAAATCTACTGAGTATTGCATATGTTGCTTTCTCATAAATTTTAAGTTACTCCTCAATTTTTGACCTATATAAGCATTTGATGTATTGCAGCATTTTATGGAAGTTGCAGAAACCAGATTTATCTGCCGAGTCTTTGAATTGTTGAACACTTATTTATGCATTATATACACACAACATTTGCAGAGGTTTAATGCACAATGACTTTTCATTTCTATTGCGCATAATCTAGTTTAGCTTTTCCAGAGATTTAGTTAGCAATTATGTTTAAAGGACTGATGTTAACGTTTCTGAAACTTTATAATTTAATTAGTTGTCAGATTATCAAAAGGCATTGAGTTTGTGATAGACGTTTAAATAAATGCAAAGTATATAGTCATGCTGATGGCTGTTACAACTATATTCTTTGCTCAAATTTGTACCTTCAGCTAGTCTCTTGCTAGATGACTTTTGTACATTCTAGTTTTCATCTTCATTTTAAAAAGATGAGGGTGAAAAAAAAGCAAACTGCTACTCTAAAACTATTTCTTTTGACTGGTGTAACATGCCATAACAATCACATTAGATATCTAACAAAAAGATGTAAGAAACCTTCTTTCCTTGTTTCTGCTCTTATTGAATTTTTATTAAATTGCTATAATTTTCCAGTGAACAGGTTCATCTACATCAAATGGATTTTCAGTCATGCATAAAAATCTAAAAGAGTTGTTTATGATTTTCAAAAGCATTATCTTTAACTGTATAAAGGCCTGTGACATCTGGAGAAAATATTAGAAGTAACTTACTGGATGATCCCTCTGCAGATTGTTCCACATCCTCTGTTTAATTTCCGTAGCTACTTCAGGATTTGTCTTTTCTACTTTGGTTAAAATTTTGTTCACGTGGTTCCTGGTGACCTGCAGAAGTTTCTCTGCAGTAGTCCAGAGTTCGTGAGGTTTGGACAGATCCAGTACAAGAACTACAGCAAATGACCTATGCGAAAGGCACTATTTGGTCAAATCTTTAGCACGTGAGACAATCAGCATTTTCATACACAACCATACCTGTAGTACAAACGTTGAAAGCAACAAAATGTGAAAATACAAATGGTAAGACAGAATTTAATGTGACAGAAAAGGAAGGTGGCTTTTAGGGATACTCTGAGCAAGCCTTTCCCTTGCCTGTTATTCAAACTATTACTTTGGCAAATTTCCATCAGAGGTTTTGGGGGGATTTTATATATCGAACTTTGTTTCTGGAGACTGTGTTTCAAAGCAGAGAGAAATCTTATGAAATTCAACAAGG